CAGGGACGTTTCTAGCCTTTCATAAGTAGGCTACTGGGGCGCAGGCCTCCATCAAAAAATTTCTCCATATTTTCATTCTCATTTATAATACTTGGTCGTTACCTGCTCGTTCACTTCGGGTTTCATCGCTGACATATATGTGTTTTGTTTTATACAATTGTCTGTAGGACTGTAAATATCACCTCATCCAGTGCTATTTTTGTTTTCTGAAATCTCCCCTTACGGTGTGAGAAACCACTGTAAATGATTCAGTGTCCGAATGAATCAAACTGAATTGCAAAATATTTCAGACCTTTTTGCACTCCCATTCAACTGAATATAGTGATTCATCATTGAATCTTTAGCTCTGATTCTAAACAGCTAGTAGAAACCACACGATATTATTGCTGAAATATTATCAGAGATAATGATATTCTGGTCATATGCAGTATTCTCCAGCATCAGCCAAGGATTTATCAGTAATATTTTACTGGGCCACAGCAGAATTTTACTGGGGCTCAGTGAAAAAAGTACGGAAGAGGATTAGGGCCAAGCAATGATAAAAAAAATAAAACCATCTCGAGAATAAAGTTGTTATGTTTTGAGAAAAAACTCGTTAAATTTCGTGAAAAAAGTCTAAATAAAATGTTGAGAATAAACTCATTAAATTATGAGAAGAAAAGTCGTTAAATTGCGAGAGAAAAAAAGTCGAGATATAATGTTGAGAATAAACTCATTAAATGACGAGAAAAAAAGACGTTACATTTCGAGAAAAAACTCGTTACATTTCGAGAAAAAAGTCCAAATAAAATGTTGAGAATAATCTCAATAAATTACGAGAAAAAAACTTGTTAAATTTCAAGAAAAAGGTCTTACACTCGTGTCATGTTCATTTCATCTCAGTAGCCCCTCACTGCAGAAAACAAAGATCCAGGGGGCGGGGTTGGATCCACATCTAGGGGGTGGAGATGGGTAGGTTTAGGTATATGTAAGGTGGGAGGAGTTGGATCTGGATCCAACCTCGCCCCCTGGATATTGTGTTCTGCAGTGAGGACTATCTCCAAATTCTCGCGGGAAATGATGGTATTTTCACATTTTCAAAGTTTTAGTACCAACTGGTACATCTGTACTTTTAACAACTCTTATGACAAAATATTTTGCACAAATATTTTTTAAATTTGAAGTCTGGAAAACTTTTAGTTGGATAATCTCACGCAGCGCACGTGGGTATTTCCAGATGCCTGATTTAGGAACAAATGACTCTTATGAACTGGTTCTTCTTAATGAGTCAGTCAAAATGATTCACAAACCAGTCTCAAACTTACTCGTAAATGTCTGCGAAAATATGACAAAAATATGTTGTAACAATTATTTAAAATATTAAAAGTCTGGAAAACTCTATGTCCAAATAGGGTTTAGTCAGATAGATAATCATACAATGTCTGAATTGTGAACAAATGACTCTTATGAATAAGTCAGTCAAAATTATTCACAAAACTCTCAAGCTAGCTCACGAGTTAGGTTTAAAATAGACTCACTCACTCAGAATCTTTGGAGTTTTGCACTTGAATACCTAAAGACACTAGAATACCTAAAGACACTACAAGACTTTTGTCCAGATTTACAATATGGACGAGTCAGTGCTAGTTGCCTAAATTTGTAGCCAGTCTGCAGATTTGAGATTATGTAGTGTATTCAACTCAAAACAAATGGTATTATTATATAATCATATATATATATATATATATATACATATATAAACAAACCACAAACACATGCATGTATAATTCACATATACAACACTTTTTACAGCATAGGTTTGTGCAATATCACAGGATCTTCCACAAACAGAATCCCAGTCAAACTGGGTAACCAAGGACATGTCCATAAGACTGTCAGTGATTTATAGATTTCTCAGACTGTGCTCGGCTCATGGTTTGAGCGCTGATGTGTGTATGTGTTTGGCTTTGGCACTCATTTCACCTGATCGATCAGTAAACAAGAGTTCAAGGATAAGACTGATCTCTAGAGCAAAAATGACAGCTTGATGATGCCGTTCAACTTGATGATGCCATTCCAATGAAATGGGAACAGAGTGAACATGAGACCAAAAGGAAAGCAGCTGAACTGAATACAAAGGAAGAGTGCAATAGCTGAGTTTTTTTTTTAGAGAAACCTCCTATTCATTAAACCACAGGATTGTGGTTTGAAATTATAAGAGGTCCATGCATTACATTTCTGCTGAAGCCATGTTTACCACTGCTGAGATTGAAATAGGCCTATACTGACATAGATTATCTGACATGACAGGCCAAATGAATGTCTATTGGTAATCATGCATGTGAACCTTTGCCTTGCTGCAAGATTTATGACGGGATAATGAATTTGAGAGATGAATACAGAGAACAGGATTTGATATAATGCACAGATCACTCACATTATAGATTTAATTATGGCAAGTACACTGATTGCATTATGATATATTAAAAGGAAAAACCTGGGACCACTGGATGGTCAGCCAGTTTTTGTTTTGTTCATATTTTCAGTATGAATCCAGTCTATAGAAATTAAAATGATGTGTATTCATCTGCCTCTATAATTTAATGCATGGCTTAACTTCATTTTTCACAGCAAATATTATGAATAATTGTGATAAATTTGATAAACTACTCAGCATATCATGTAATCAATTTGATTACATTTTTTTTTTTTTACAACTGTTGCATACCAAACCTTGTCAACTCAGATGGGTTTTTCAGATCAGCATGCCATTCCCAGAGCTGAAGCTCTTGTCTCATCGACTGGTTTGCTGGCTCATTAGAGAGTGTGATATGCAGCTCTATCTCTGTCAGGTACAAGCCAATTTCAGAGCCAGTCATTCTGTGATGAGAACAAGGAGCACTATTAATGAAAGCCTTCCTCACATATTTCCTGGGAACTTAATCAGCCAAGGCTAATCATAGAACCTGCACCATCTATCCTGACAAACAGTTAAAAAAAGTTTCAACCTTTTGAAATGATCTTGATTTATGTCAGCCGGCTCTCAGCATGTGCTCAATAATAATTAAATTCTGTCATTTAACAACATTTTAGGGGTGCCATAAATGTTTTATGTGAATATTGCTTATATTTAGTAACTTTTGGGACCCCAAGCACTGTCAAATAAGTCCTATAGCTGATCATCAGATCTGCACAGGAGATATTTCGGTCCATTCCTCTGCACAAGCGGTTTCAACAATATTTTGGGATATCTTGCATATTTTTGGGATGCCTCAAATGGCCTTGAATAGAAATCATGCCACAGCATTTCAATGAGATTGAGGTCAGGACTCTGACCTGACTATTCTAATATATGGAATTTCCACAGTTTGGATGCACTCTGATGGTGATTTATTCCTTTGTTTAGGAATAAACATGTTGCATGACCCACTTTTCTTTTAAAAGTTTCAGATCACAAACTTCCTGACAATGTGCTGTAAAATTGGAACAATGATATTTTAATTGCTATGCTTGCAGATCCATAGATTTCTCTCTAGGGTACTTTGTAATTTGTTGAAGGATCCTTTGACATGTCTTTACACTGACCTTTTGAAGGACAGCCAAGGTACCACTGGAGCTGCTTTTCTTCTGTTTGTAATCAATCTGCTTCAATGGGGACTGATGGAGCCCCAAGTCTTCAGACATTCTCTTGTAACTTTTTCCAGACTAATGAGCCTGTACAATTCCTCTTCTGTGGTTCTATGGAATCTCTTAGGTCATGCCATATTGCACTTTAGCAGAATTCAAAGGTAAAGAGCAGGTAACCAAATATTTCATTTTTCAAGAGGCCATTATCCTAGAAAGTCACATTGTATATTAATTACTACTTTGATGGATTTAACCATTTGTTGATATGGATTTGCAATATATTTATGTCTTGTTTGGTACATCTGTATTGACTATTATGATTTTAGGAAGTGTTATACAGAAATCCAAATAATGTCAAAGTTTTCCTCAACATTTTCTCATAATTGTTAAAGTGCCCCTATTATGGGTAATGAAAGGTTCATATTTTGGTCTTGGGAGTCCCCAACAACAGGTTGACATGCGTGCAAGGTCAAAAAAACACTTTCATTGCCTTATAATATGCATTTATTTTACCTTACTTGCTCAACGACTCCCAAACGATTCGCTCAACGATTCATTCATTCGTTTTAAAAACGACTCGTTTCAATGATTCAGAGTCGACTCTTTCTTTTGAGAGACAATAACTTTATACACGGTGCACTTTCAGATTTAAAACTTTGCAGGACGTTTTCATTCACTTAGAGCTGTGTTACACACTGCATGAAAGGTAATTTTCAAAAATCCATAATAGGGGCACTTTAATGAAGAGAAAAGGGAAGTTCATGAGGTAGATATAAAAAACAATTAGAAGTGGATGATAAGTGATTGAAGAACAAGAACAAAAAAGAAAACAAAAAGAAAACTGTTTTCTTACTCCATTACTACTCAAAAATATTGCAGTAATTTAAAGTAAAAGATCACTGGACGGAATAGAACATAAAATGCTAATATTCAGACTTTTACATTTATTAAATCCATTTGCCAATTTAAAATGCTCTATTGAATTCTGTAAGAAAAAATCCCTGGTGAAATATTTTGGTTTATAGTTACGTGTCACTGCAATCACTGTATTAACCAGGTAAGAGGGTTCAGGTGACCGACTCAGTATACTTGAAGAAGATTCTGATATAATATGACCGAAACATGCTAATACTTCTATTTTTTCACTTCTGTGCACACTGTTGGCATGAACTTCGGATGCTGCCAAGCCCACGTTTCAACAAATACTGACACCTGGTGGCAATAATTACATGCAATATTTGCAAAAAAATTAAACACATTAAATAATATCTACATTGCACATATAACAAAGCAAAATACTAATGTACTAGTATCTTTCTTAACAACACACACACTGCACACAATGTAATTTCCTGTCCCTCTAAATATGGTTGGAACTTTCATATCCCGGGCTTTTATGAAGTACAATGCAGCACAAGCACCAAAGTCCTATTACCTCTTTGAGCTGAAACCCTCTGGGACCCAAACTTGTCTGGGCTGTCAGGTGGAGAAGTACCACCATATGACCCCATAGGGATACAGTCCTGTTGAGCACCACCTTCTTCTGTGTGAAGGGTGAGATGGGCTGGAGCTGGTCCACATCTTACTAAAGCTATAAAGCACCTGTAAAACTGGCAGTAAATCCAGATTTGACAGTAACACTGGTCTATATTTTGGATACAAATATGCCTATGAGAAGCACATACCTGATTATTGAACAGAATGTAAATGATGGGGTTCAGAACAGTGCTGCTCTTTGCTAGTATGGATGATACAACGCTGGCTGTGGGGCTGACAGTACCAGCGCTGAATGTGCCAAGCAATGCCATGACCCCGTACGGCATCCAACAGAGCAGGTAACAGGACACCATGGAAACCACCATCACCAGCACGTGCGTTTCCCTCCTCTGTGCAGCTGTCTGATTGATCTTAGCAACCTGTGAGATGCGGAGAAACGCTTTGAGGTTTGCTTTTCAAAGAATAACAGCGACAAGGCTGGTTTGAAACACCACATGGTGTTTATGCACCAGAATGTTTGAACTGTAACTGGATTAGGAGAGAATTGCAATAGATTTTTTTTACAATAAGGTTCCATTTGTTAATATTAGTTAACTACATTAGTTAACATGAACTAACAATGAACAGTATTTTTATTAATAACATTAACAAAGATTAATAAATACTGTAACAAATGTATTGCTCATTTTTAATTAATGTTAATCAATGCATTAACTAACATTAACTAATGGGACCTTATAAGTGTTATCAGAGAATTTAATGAAACAGTTTAACCAAAAATTAAAATTTGCTGAAAATGTACTCACCCTCAGGTCACCCAAGATATAAATTTGTTTGTTTCGTTATCAGAACAGATTTGAACAAATTTAGCATTACATCACTTGCTCAGCAATGGATCCTCTGCAGTGAATGGGTGCCGTCAGAATGAGAGTCCAAACAGCTGATAAAACATCACAATGATCCACAAGCAATCTACACAACTCCAGCCATCTTGTGAAGCTAAAAGCTGCATATTTGTAAGAAACAAATGTAATTCTACATTTCACCAAATCTGTTCTGATGAGGAAAATACTAAATCTTGGATGGCCTGAGAGTGCTTAAATATTCTTTACTACAAGCATTTACATACTAAAACTGATCCAGCTGTGTATATAATTCACAGTAGCCATAAATAATGATGACAATGAGTGTGCGAAGGACTTTGGTTCCGGACAGCGGCATGAAAAATGCTTAATTTATGGCGAACAAACGTTTGGCTAGAAAGATCGATGAGTCTTACTAGAAGAGAGCTCTTTATCAAAATCATTGGTTCCACTCCCATTCTCTCTCACTTTCAACCTTTTCCTCTTTCATTCTTCACCCCATGAATGGCAATGAGTATCTTCCCGTAGCAGTAGACCATCAGAAGAAGAGGGAGAAGCAGACAAAAGACAAAGAGGCAGATGACGTAAGATCTTGTTTCCGGGGCGCGCTGGTTCCACTGGACTGAACAGGTGGTGCCGGGACCCTCAGGACCGTAGCTGCTCCAGCCGAAGAGTGGTGGCACTGTCCACATGAGAGAGTACAGCCAGCAGCCTGTGATGAAGAGCCAGGCCTTCCTATAGTCAGACACATCTGCTTTTGAACAGCAGAGAATGGTGCTGTAACGCTCGTATGACAGTACAGCAAGGGATACCAGTGAAACAATACCTGTTGATATTGGATAAAAAGACAAAATAAATGATATGTTCATCAACTAATTTGTTTCATTCTTGTTTGTTTTATTGTAATAGCAAGTTACTTTACTAATGTAAAAAACTTAACCTTAAGGCAAAATGGCTATTTGACAGGACGGTGAATTTCAATAGAAGTCAAGAAGTAGCCTAACTTAGACCTATTTGTACACTTAACTATATCTAGAGGGACTTTCTTTTTTTCTATGAATATCTTAATCTCCCTGGAATGGAAATAATCAAACAAATACACGAAGAAACCAAACAAATTGTTTGGTCATATAAACAGGAATCAACGAGTTAAATGGACCTTGGCTAGTAAAAAAGTTCTCGACAAATGCGGTAGTGATTAAAAAACATAACAGCGTGATCAGTGTACTCCGAAACCAGAACGAATAACTCTTATGAGCCAGTTCTTTTCAGTGAATCACATTCATCGCGCGTTCGGCCGAACACCGGTTCGTTTAGCAACCAGTGTCCGATTCCTGAACGGATGACTCTTAGGAAGCGGTTCTTTTAAAGGGATAGTTCACCCAAAAATGAAAATTCTGTCATTAATTACTCACCCTCATGTCGTTTATCGTGGTAGTACCCTTGCTGTCTATGGGAGAGTCAGAGAGCTGTCAGAATGCATCAAAAATATCTTAATTTGTGTTCCGAAGATGAACGGAGGTCTTACGTATTTGGAACGACATGAGGGAGAGTAATTAATTACAGAATTTTCATTTTTGGGTGAACTAACCCTTTAAGTGAATCGCAATTGTGCATCGCAAGTTTGTCGCACGAATCAAAAACAACATCGAGAGCAGTGTTCGATTCCCGAACAAATGACTCTTATGAAGCGACTCTTAAGAATGACTCTACGTCTCAGTTAAATGAAAACACTTAATAATTGCGTTCAAGATATTAACAGATATGTCTTTGATTGGTTACATTGTTCAATGCTGCAAATATGTTTCTGCAATATCAGATGGGCCCCCCTGATTCCCTGGGGCCCTGAGCGGCCACTTACCCCGCTTATTGGTTAAGTCCGCCCCTGCATATGACAAGTAAAAATGCTAAAATAAAAGTGAGATAAATGTTACTACACTAATGTTACTACACTGAAAAAAACAGTGTGGGGTTTACTTTTAAACAATTTTCACTGACAAATTGCTTGTACATTTAACAAATAATTACAAAATTACATATGACAAGTAACACACTGATTTAAAGGAATAGTTCACCCAAAAACGAAAATTTGCTGACAATGTACTCACCGGTCATCCAAGATGTAGATGAGTTTGTTTCTTCATCAGAACAGATTTGGAGGAATTTAGCATTAGGCATTACATCACTAGCTCAGCAATGGATCCTCTGCAGTGAATGGGTGCCGTCAGAATGAGAGTCCAAACAGCTGATAAAACATCACAATAATCTACAAGTATCCAAGTACATCAACTCCATTACATCAATTACCATCGTGTGAAGTAAAAATATGCATGTTTGTTCCATCATTAAGGCCTTTTACCTTTAAACCGTCGCTTCTGGCCAAAATACCAGTCATCCATAATACTGCTTATACACTACTTGTAATATATACTCGCCGGGGCGTAGCTAGCCATCATTTCAGAAGTGAGGGGGACAGATATGTCAAAGGTAATATCTTTTTTTTTGGAGGTGGGGGTGGGGGGTGGGGGGTGAGTTGGAGACAGGATTTATTTATTTTTTTCTTATCTCTTAACTGGCTAAGAAATCAAATACACTGCTGGACAATTACAAATAATTTGTATTCTGTAATATTTTTTCTATATTTTCCTATTGGCAATTTTATGATTTGTTCATATACTACACTTTTTTTATTTTTATCACAGAATAAGGCAGAAAATGTATAGTTTCTATAGGCTACTGTAATAAATGATATAAGTAGCACTGCATTATTCAGATAGTTTGTTCATAACTTGGAGATGACTTGAAGAACACACATAATCCATATAGTTTCACAATCGTGCATGTATTGTCTTCAAGTTTTTTATTCAGCTTAGCCACAGCAATAGCTCGATTCAGCACGTCATACGTTATTACTTATAATCCGTTTTGGACTTTCTGCACAAGAGCGCCCTCCGACTTCGAGTATGAATGAAACAGTCACTGCATGAGAGTGTTCAGTGCTCCGTAATGTTCACATCTCCTCATTTTGGATATGAATAAAATGCCAGGTCATGCATAGGTTATCTTTTCTCTTTGAATTTAAATCCAGATTTATTCTCTGGCCCCTGAAAACCACTATGTGAATGCACTTGCCTGAAAAAGTGCGGGGGACAAATTTACGTTTTATTAATAGTGGGGGGACATGTCCCACGCGTATTTTACACCCATGTATAGTGGTAAGATACTAGTAACTATTGGAATATTTAATTTAAGTCAGTGAAACTAAAATAGATATTAGTCTGTATTTTATTTAAAAAATAAAAATGAGTAATGTAAAAGTAGTTATTAGTTAAATGAATTAAAATGAAAATGGCTTGCCACAATACCCAAATACCCATACACCATTTAATGAGGTGGAGGGTCTTTTGATATCTATTTAGAGAGGAACTATTAATAAAAACTGACATATGAGAATGTCTCAAACATCTACAGAGGTTTCAGACATTGGTGATTGGAAATATGTGGCTTCAAAGTCCATTTCTTTGAGGAAAACTAATTGAACTGCACTGGCTGTTTGCTGAATTAAACAGTTTGAAAATATATTACAGTAAAAGTAATGTAACATTTGGGCACCCTTCCATTTGGTTCTTCCTTTAAGTGTTAATGTTTTCACAATCCACATTGCCTATTTCTTCAGTTTGCAATTCAGCAATTAAATAACTGCAACAAAGTGAGTGTGCATAGTGTTTCTCATGGTTGATCCTCAAATTGCTGAATATCACACATGACAGATTTAGACTCAATGTGCCCCTTTTGTCCTCGTATTTTGGCATCAACCTGATTTATTTACTTCACAAGAGAGCAGGAAAATTAGGGCAGATGAGAGAGAACTTAAAATGTGCCAAGGCATCAATAATCGAATAGTGAGCTTGCTGAAATGACAAGTTCTACCATCTGGTCCAGTATAATGTACTCGATCTAACGATCTACAGATGAGAAGTGCATTCCACATTATTCAGTCAACCATAAAACTGACCCTGTATTTACTTTCTTAATCCAAGTTCCTGTGTTCATAATTACATTGGCCTGCACACTGAATATCCCTTTTCACTCAGACTTCGAGTGATGTCAAATTACGGAAGTAAAATGGGTTAAGAAAGTTGTTTTAATGCTTGTTAAATACAAACAGAAGCTTCCAGTATAGCATGCTTGAGATCACTGCTAACAGTTTAACCAAATGAAAACCATCTTTTAATTTAGCTTTCATTTAAATCTTTATTGGACCAACCATAAAACTGACCCTGTATTTACTTTCTTAATCCAAGTTCCTGTAATTATAATTGCATTCTGGCCTGCACACTGAATATCCTGTTTCACTCAGACTTCGAGTGACGTCAAATTAACGTGAGTAAAATTGGTTAAGAAAGTCATTTAATGCTTATTTTAATCATTAAAAAATTACAAACTGAGCTCAAACAGAAGCTTCTTGAAGCATGCTTGAGATTACTGCTAACAGTTTAACCAAATGAAAAGATCTTTTAATTTAGCTTTCATTTAAATCTTTATTGAACTAGGGCAAATGCTCTGAGAACATATCAAATCTCATCTTCTCATTCACAAATACACTCTAGGGATGTGAGAGGAAGATGGGAAAGAGAAAAGTACACGAAGAAAGAACATGCAGCAATCAGTGAGTTGGGGCTATGATCTACTGATTGAACCCAAGAGATTTAAAAAGCCTCCAGTTCCTATAAGGTTTCTCATTCTCAAGCCATGTCACACTGGTGTGTATTTCTTATTGATTTTAATTTAATTTCTGAATAGTAGAAAACATTTCCAAAATTAATGCCTGGGAAAAATTGTGCAACTCACTGAACACTGATATTTTGTGATAAAATGCCCTGCCATTCTATATGTGGTAAGTTGTCACAACAGAACCTGCCATTAAACAACCTCTCATATGGTCTATTTAACGATTTAATAATTAAATAACCGTTTAATAAAATGTTAACATGATGAATTAGCAAAATTCTAATATATATATATATGAAACGTGATTAAATAACTGCAATAAAAATAAAAATATTACATTTATATTTATGTAAAAAATAATGTTTATTTATATTTATTTGTAATTTAAAACACAGGACAACTTGAGTCTATCTAGTATGTTTCCCAGTACATATGAAGCTATTAATATGCTGACCTAAGATAAATTATTTATCATTTTGCTCTAATTTTTGAAAAATTAGCAGAAGTTGCATTTAGTGGCTCTCTGTGCGTAGTTATGCCGCTTTAAGGTTTGTGGGCAGCCTGTGACTTTCTTCTCCTAAAGAGTCTCCCAAAGTGTTATTAGCAGTAATAACTGTTTTGTTGAAATGTGGGAGTAAGAGAGTGTGAAAAGCCATCCTCATGTGCATGTTCATACCCCACATCCCCTGAATACATGCACAGCGGAGAGTGCTGTTGAAGCTAAGCATGTAGGAGGACACCTGTGGTGTGGGGATCTCATATATCTATGAATGACTGAGTGGGAGACAAATCCCCCTTTGGCACCGTTGCTCAGCAGACACTGTCTCCCACTTCTGAACTTTTAAACAGAGGCACGTGACGTTAGTTTGCAGAGATGTGTGGGCAGTCTTGATGTACAGTTGAGTCTTTAGCCTCAAAGAAATGTCTCCTTTAATGCAAATCAATGCTTTGAGCAGGAGATACAGAATGCAATTGACTTTTTTCTTTATATTTTTGTAATTGTCTTTAAAAATCTCTGAATTAAACAAGCTGAAAGCTAAATCTAACATGCCAATGAACAACAGACAGTCAAGGAGTTGAAATAAAAATTCTAAAAATTAAATTAATATGAAGTATAAATGAAAAACAAAAAGAAACAGTAAAATTTATAACTGCAAACCTGCTGAAAATCAAATGTCTAAATGTGTAAAGTATGTACAAAAGGACAATTTTCATGTAGGATTTATTAAACAAAGGGTCACCTGTCTATTCATACTGAAAATAGACTATTGTATACTGTTCTTGAAAATAATTGAGGAAACTCATCATTGTGCAAAGCCTTTAGCTGTTTTGTCATACTCATACATCAGAAGTGAGGGCTTGTGATGGGGAAATACATCACTGCTTGAGGGAAAAAGTGTAAAGCAGGTATTGCAAACAGGTTTGTAAAGATGAAGTCCAATATCATTTGAACAGTTTTAAAGAAATTTATTTTTGGTTTGCTCATGTGAGTTCACTTTTACCATTACATCAGCTTTACTTGGCCTTCTGTGTAACCTGATCTAGAGAGTTGACACACTTGTTGATGAGGTTTTGAAGGGTTGTTCATCCCTCAAGGTATGAAAGAGAAAAGTTTCATTTAAAAAGTAACTATATTGAATATATTTTTTGACAAATGACTATATAGTTTTTGCATTGCGAAAATTATGGTCTATATTAATAATAATAATGTTCAAAGAAAGTTTGGTAAAACTATAAATCATATAAATAGACTTTAAACCTCATTCACCCATTAAACAGCTAAGAGAAGTGAACTCTTTCCAGTCAGGTATTCTCACTTATGTCCTACTACAAGATAGCTTATGCACATGCTCACGGCTAAATCAAGCAATTACCTGCCATTCATCGCTGAGGAATGTCTGACAACATGAATATAATGGTTTGAGTCACTCTTCCAGATGACCAAAAACCACAGCATTCTTAAGCTTACATAATAATACAAACACAGACAGTCTTGTGCTGAAAATATATTTTCGTCATAGAGCCAGAAATCGCTTCTTCAATACCAGTACAAATCCTTACTGATTTCTGACACAGGCACACCTGAAAAACACAAGATGATCACAAATAAATAATTTATCACCACCTAAACAAACACTTCATTTATGCACTGCAAGTCAGTCTGCATTCCGAATATGCATACCCTTCTATATGTAGGCGAAACAGAATGTGTATGTGAAAAGAATAGAATGTCCCATTTCACAGTATTCATAAAACAGTAGACAAAACGTGTCTGGATGACTTATTACTTGACTTAAAGGGATAGTTCACCCACAAATGCAAATTCTGTCATCATTTACTCACCCTCAAGTTGTTCCAAACCTTTCTTCTGCTGAACACGAAAG